TTTGTTCTTCGTTGCTTGGCAAGGACTGCCTGCAAGTCATCATCATCGAAAAAATCCTCTTCGAGATTCCGTCTTCGTACGCTAGGCTTCTCGTCGACGTCCATATTTACTTCAGGCGGAGGGATATCCTCAGGATCAACTTCAACTTTCCGGTTTGGTCTCTTCTTCTTGTTCTATAATCAATCAAAAGTTAGTAACATACGCACCTGAGTAATTAAAGCATTGACAAACCTTAGGCTTCTTGAAACCGACGTCACTTTCCTGAACGTAATCGGAAACATCAAGGTTCTCTAAACGTCAATGGTCATCACCGGCACTTTCCCAAGACGATAACTGATTACTTACTCGCATAGTCAATTGATAATAACGATTTATTGACGCGAATTGCATCCTCCTCCTTTGTTTGCCTCGTGGGACGACTTGACTTTGGCTGTCCGCCACCAAGACGGAAACCCTGAAAAGATGCGATAAGTAACATCTCAAACGAACGATAATTGTTCCGTACTCCTTCAGGTATCCCGTTGAGCTCCTCGTCGTATTTGGCTAAAACGGAACGTTTCATCCCTTCATTGCCTGGGATGAACTCATCATCATCATACCCGGTATATTCTGGCTTTTTCAACTTGAGCTCATTATTCTTCTTTGTTTTCGCATCTTCCGCAAGTTCGACATTCTGAAGCTCATCCTCTGTCACAACATATAAGGAAAATGACGAGATATAATAATGTTTCGAATTGACTAACCTTCATTATCGAGGATACGGCTATCTTTCAGTGTAAGTATCCGATCTTCGCCTTCTCTCAAGGCCTCGAAGTCATGGCTAACCTTCAGGCCAGCAAGATCCTCTGTTGCACTTGTTAAATATGATTCAAAGAGAAATAATATACACGCACTTTCTGTATACTCTTCAATAATAGCTTTATCTCGAGCTTCCAACTCTTCGAACTGCTTCTTAGCCATCTCTTTGGCTTTCTTCTTGCTTCTCTTGATCCAGGAGATTGTATCATCGACCTCCGCATCTTCACCAAGTGTGGTTCCTTTCAGAGTCGCGTTCAATTCATGCTTATTCCGGATCCTAGAAAAAGAACCTCGTGAGCACTGTGCTCGCAGATGCGCCTGGGGCAAGAAATAGTAGAAGCAAACTGAACAAGATACAGCGAAAGAGAAAGTATACTTACTTTGCAAGTTTATCCTGGATTCGCCTAGGAAAATTAAGATCTTCATTAGGGAGATAATTCACGAGACAAGAGGCTACGTACTTTCGATCTCGTTCTTGGGTTTCCTGCTCTCTGCGTTTCGCATAGTTGTCTTCTGCGGTGACCTCCGTCTTCTCTCCTGGTGCTCCATCATCTGTAAGGGGCTTTAATCCGAGAGAAATACGGATCTTGTTCGTTTCTTCCAAACTGATAGATTCGGCCATGTGTGCAACGAAGAGTAGGAGCGGAGTTCGAATTTGGGTGGCTTTTCCAATCCTAGTCGCCTAGGCGCCAGTAACGCGTGACTACGCGTTACGACCCCCTTTCCACGGCTACGAACCTTTCTACACGACTACCACAACTTATAACACTCCTTAGAACTTCTCACTCCTTTATATATTATTTTGATCTATTGAACGAATCGTTTTCCATGAAGCGCGCCACCGAAGAGCTATCGTCCCTCTCTAAAAACGCGAAAAGATCTCGACCCACTCGTTTGGAAAAAGACATGGCTGAAGCTGGTGATCCGAACGCCTTTGACGACCCTGATGACCCTAAACAGATTGGTCCTTGGATACTTGGTAAGACTGTGGGTCGAGGCTCTACTGGTGAGTAAGGTAAGGATGCACTCGCATCCCAGTGCTGACACAAGGTGTAGGCCGCGTCAAAGCCGCCAAACACAAGTTGACGGGACTGGATGCAGCAGTTAAGATCATACCATTTCGATACCCTTTGTCAAAGGAAGAATTCACCAAAGCTGAGAAACACAATGCAAGTATGGAACGCGAAATTGCTTTAATGAAGATTATGGATCACCCTAATATCATCCGCCTGTATGACGTGTGGGAAGGTCGAGGTCGTATGTATGTATCGTACCCAAGATTTTCCTTTTATTATTGCTGACCCTGCGTTTAGTTACCTTATCTTAGAATGGGTGGAAGGCGGAGAGCTCTTCGACCTCATCGTGGAAAAGGACCATTTTCGAACTCGCGAGGTCGTCGCGTACTTCAAACAAATAATCTGCGGCTTAGCCTACTGTCATAAATTCTCCATTGCGCACCGTGATCTTAAACCCGAGAACATTCTGGTACACGGCAGTCTGAATCAGCATGTCAAGATAGCGGATTGGGGCATGGCCTCCTTCCAATCTCCTTTCGACCAGTACTTGGATACGAGCTGTGGTTCTCCGCATTATGTTAGTCCTGAGGTTATTGTAGGTCGTTCGTATGATGGGACCATGGCTGACGTATGGAGTGCTGGCGTCGTTCTGTATGTGATGTTGGCGAGGAGGCTGCCATTCGAAGATCAGGATTTCAAGAAGCTTTTGGCTAAAGTATGTGCTGGAAAGTATGAGATGCCCGAGAATCTTCGTCCCGAAGCGGTAGATCTCCTTCAAAGAATGTTGGTTGTGGATGTCAAACAACGAATCACGGTATGTGTTATTCCATGCATGATTCGCAATCATCTCATCCCTTCTAGATCTCAGAGATTCTTAAACATCCTTATCTTCGTCATGAAACGCCTGACATTTATTGTTTGTCTCCTCCATCATTGTCAGATCTGCAAGTCCCTCTTCGAGCTGTAAATGAAATCGACTACGAATCCATGTGCGACCTTCGTGTCATCTACGGGAAACATATCCCCGAGATCGCTCTCCAATATCAACTCTTGCAGCCCGGACCCAGCTATGCGAAAGCATTCTACTTTCTATTGATGCGGTTTCTCGAGCGACAGTTGGAGATTTCAGGACGTAACGGAGATGTACGGGATCCGAATACTGGCTTGGAGCCATACAGACCCTCAAAACGGACTTCCTGTGCGCACTTGCCTCAGTACTGGGTGGATTACTCTGCTTGGCCACATTCTACAAGAGCTCCTCATTTCTATGCCGATTATGACCGCTATGACGGACGTTATCCTTCTCCGTTGCAAGCTCGACGTCCCATCCCGTCCTTATATTCTCCAAATCTTAGTCTAGGATGGGCACCTTACGTACTCCCGTTCGAACAGCAATCACCGCAGCTGCCTGTGGGGCCGCTGCCTACTCCCATTCCCAGGACTATCCCGCTCTCGCCGCGTAGACCTCACCGCCGCGATACCGCTCCTGTTGCATTCACGCCCATCGCAGGTCCTTCTAATAGTTCTCCGAAGAATCATAGTCCAAATCCTTCGAGACCCAAGCCGAAAAGACGCGGGACTGCGCCTGGTCTAGGTATCCTTCAACGCAGCCCGCCCCTAGAATGTGTAGCTCTACCGAATCTGACTGTTACGCAACTTCAAGTGCCTTCTTCAACTATTCCTTCTGATAATACTCCTTCTGCGCCTGCTACCTCTCAGATTCATCTTCCGAGTCATATGCAACGTCTGCCCTTCAAGCCAGTGAGGAAGGATTCACGTGTAGGACATTCCGAACCGTCATCTCCTACCCATCGCACATTGAACCGTGAAGACTTGTTGACTCCCTTGACTCCCATTGAATACGCAGAACGACCTATATCTGAAGATTCAAAGCTACATGTGCTATCCGAAGAGGAGAAGACGTCTGTTCAGAATGAAGGTGAAGCCCCGTTCGTTGTCGTTTCAGTGCAGCCGCAGGTCGCCTCGTCGCCCGTTCGACAGAGGACGCGTAGTGATGTGGGCAAGCGTATCTCGACAATGTTGAAAGCGACGAAGACCGAGCAGGGAAATGGGCTGTTACAAAGAACAATTACAAAACAGGACGAAGTGCCCGGAGATGATATCCAGGGAAGATCCTTGACGAGGAAGAATAAACGTAAGTTCGTGATCCTATCGGCTTGCAGACGCGACGTTAATGCCCTCTTCAGTTGCCAATCTTGATCTTCGTAAAGTGTCGCCGACGTCTTCTCGTGGACCTAGCAGCGACGGTTCGACGTCGGCATCGGGAACGACGACACCCCTACTTACACCTGTCGTGCAAGAGTTCCGCGGCTGGTTCTCTAACATGTTTCATTCCGCTAAAAAGACTCCGTATACCTTCTGTTCGTCGTGGGATTGCGAGAGGACCAAAACTGAAGCTTTCGAATTGCTCTGCGCGTTGGGTGTCTATGTCTTTCACGAGCACACAGGAGTCCTGAAGTGTACGCAGCGCGACCGTTATGGTAAGTACCCTGTTGCATTTGCACTGCTTTGTTGCTGATCGTTATACGAAGATCACGATGGAGGAGTCATGATCAAATTCACGCGCTTTAGAGTCGAGTTTTACCTGTACCGTGTCGACCCATCTACACCATTTGCTCTCACATCGGGAGCTCAGTCATTCGTTTCCACAGTCAACTTTATACATGAGAAAGGATCCTATAGTGCCTTCCGCACGATCTCTGAACGGATCAAATCGCAATGGAGGTGAGTTCTTCTTTGCGACTCGAGTTCGTTGTTCCGTAACTGACTTGCACGTTCAGATTGGAGCCCTTAACCCAAACTGCACCACCAATTGTACCTAATGTGTTTCCTGTACAACCGCCACCGCGTGTCACAGAAAGTGTCAGTGGTTTTGTATTAATTGATCATGCTCATGGACATTCTGTATAAGTACTGAATCATTTGCTTTGCGCTTGTAGCCTCAGGCTCTGTCTTATTAGAACTCTTGCATGTATCCTTCTTACTGCTCTGTTGTAGTTTTGTTATTCTTGAGGTAGATTCATGAAATAAATATCATGCGTTATTATAGTTTTTCTTCTTAGAATGTCCGATAAGGAAAACGATTGAATTTGTGCACGGCTTTGCGTTGAGGCCTGAGGTGCTGTATCTGCGTGATACTGAATTTCACTACGACGAAATATAATAACACCTATGGTGAAACGGTATCATGCTTGCCTTCCATTAGAGTAGCTCTTCTGTTAGCAAGCGGCGCGGGTTCGACTCCCGCTGGGTGTACCTTTTGATGAGCTTTTAAATAGTAAAAGTTCTCAGACCCCTTTTTGCCATTGGTCTGCGATAGACGTCTTTACTACCATTGGCCATCTCTTTTCCAACATTTCACGGACAACGGCCTTGTAATTCCACATGGATGCTTCGGACCTCATAGAATGCAGACTACTGATTTATTTTTCTCGACGGAGAACTGAGAGAACTGAGCTTAAACAATCGGGAATGAAGGCAAGTCCTGGTGAGCATTATACTCGGCCGAAACTAAGCACAAGGCCCCAAGGGCGTGACATCCAGGGACATCTGGCACAACGCCGCGAGATCTTAGCACAAACATTCTCAGAATTAGTATGCATTGCCGGTCATTTCAGGTCAAATTCACAGCTGTTTATTATATTCAGCAATAAAAGGAAGAAAATGATATATTTAGGGAATTTTTAGTGAAAATTGAGCCGAAAACGGTTAAAAATGCTTCGAAAAAAATTCGACCTTCCGGGGGTCTATGCACAAGGAACCTGTGACGATGGACAAATGGCCTTTTAAGCACAGCACAGAGGGGGGCGTGACGCGTGATCGTACTTAGTATCAGCCGAGTACAGTGTTCGAATATTCAGATAAGGCTGGTACGCTTTCATCTTACATATCTTTCGTTTGGAGCCTCACTGTTACTTAGAAAGAGAATATCTGGACAAAAAGGGTTTGAACTCCTTACCCGACGACGTTTGGGATCTCGAGAAGACCAGCTTATCAGCGGAAAATGCTTTTGGTTAGGCTTTATCGGCGACGATAAAAGGTCCGCCTCTGGGGTTTCTTACCACCACCGAAATTTTGGAAACAGTGGCAAGACGCTTCCCCTTTCTGGTTTGGTTCACAAGAATAGATGACTGGAAAGTCAGTACCATCCACTTCTGTCGCTACCGTTGATGATTTTAACCAAATATTAGGAACAAGCGAAAAACTTCCTAAAAGCCTATTCTCGTGTCTTTCTGAACATACGAGTGAACATTTTTCTGAATCTCTGGGGATGGTCCTTGACGAAGATTGGTTTCGCCCTCATTCCCCAGAAAAGACCAATGTTCTTTATCAAGTCACGATTCATCTTGACATTAGTCTTTCTATTTCTCGGGTTCATGTCTCCATGCTGACTCTGTTATCTGTAATTTCCCCTGAGACAATAGTATCCGCGCTTACTCGCACCACTAATAATCAAATATCACAATTATCATATGCAGCATGGTTGGCCGCAAAGGCAAGGTTCAAGTTCACACCCGTTGTCGCCACTCGTACTTGCTCGCTCTATTTCCCTGTGCAGTTTATGTATTTAAACTTAATAGATCTTGAACTATGAGTGTTATGTTTATATAATATTTCTCGAAAAATAAATAAGACATCAACCTCATAGGTAAGGTGTTCTAATATTCTACTGTATCCTTAAGTATTTCTGAATATTATTATTCATATTTCCTGTGCATAAAGAATGCTTGAGTACTTAAGTTTTAGGTATTGGAGGAACTACGCAGTCACCTTAATGCACTGGGTCCTTGACAGGAATTAAGTGGAGATGGACACATGAAGCTTGCTGCATTAGCATTGCAACTCTGTTTTTGATTGGGGCAGTATTACACATTTTAATTGATGAGCACAGCAGATGTCAAAAATCAAACCTTGCCTTTCCGGCCAACCATAATGGTAGTGACACACTAGAGGCTGTGTCTCTAATGTGCAGGTCGGCTTAGTACTAATTAGAGGTTAACACAAGGGCGGCACGGACATCTCACTGAAGCCCCCACAACAGATTTCACCCTACATTTCTAACTAATCGTTTTGATAAAACAGGATGTTCAGTCATGCACAGCTCGCATTGCAGAATATTTCAGGCATATAATAGAACAAATGTTTGCAGGTGCAATGAAGTCGAACGCCTAATTACCATTTAATGTTGAACCATCATCTGCATCCTTCCCCTCCGAATGTTAGTTCTGACTTATTCATGTTCTCATTTGTGTCTCGTCCAACTTGTGTAAGTGTAATGCAGAAGAGAACAGGCAGTCGAGAACTCCTAAGCAGTCCTAAGCACGGTACCGGTGACCACCTCTGCCAAAATTGCGCTGGCTATCAATTACAACCACCACCATCACAAAAGGAAAGAGGAGTTCTCAATGTGCTCCGCTGGACGAGTTGTCCGTTTACAAAACGTAATGGGTAATTTTTGAATGTACAAGAATACTCAGTAGTGGCAAAACAAAAGAAAGTTCATATTTCCTTATTTTGTACGCTACCCATTGTACTTACTTCACCGAACCTGTAGTAGAGACTCATTCCTGGAGTACTCTTATTGGACAAATTTCTATCGATTTCTTTGCGTTCGAGATGTGATCGATTTCCTTTCTACCTCTTTATATCTCTAAATCGCTCAAGTTCGCGGTAAGCTTCCATTATTGTCAAAGAGGTGAAGGGTAAAAATTAAAAAACCCGATTGTTAACGGTGGGCAACCCCCTTTGACCGATGGAGAGATCGTGGTCTTATTGTTGAACATGCAAAAGAATAGACAGTAGGCAGCTCTTATATTATAAGGAGAGTCCTGCCTTTGAGGATCGGCTTCCGGCGCATTTGAATCCTTAACTTGTTCTTTTGCCACTACGATTAGGTGACCTCCTTTCTCTTATATTACCAGTGGCAGCATAAAAGCAAATCTCGCAAGAATTCCTCGTTCAAATGACTACTACTGTGTTAACCTCCGTCACGCTTCTGAAAATGTCCTCCGCATGCCAACTTGAAATCGAAGTCACTTCTTTGAAGAACGATCTATATAGAGGTCATCTAGTTGAAATTATTAATAATCCTCCATCGTAGGATAGGCTCGCTTACTCAGCGAGCAGTTAATAATTAATAACTGTAGCAGCTCGAAAATGGTTAGTAAATAACTAAATTTTCATACTTAAAAAGAATGCTTATAATGTGCTTCGAACAAAAGGGCTCATGAAAGTTAGCACTAAATGCTTAACAGTCTACCACTCGCCCACAAGGATTATTAATAATTTCAGCTAGAGTATGTGTCATATAGCGACATGCTCGTTGGGAGCATGTCAGACATAGTACACACACTTCAGGAGCCCAACGAACGACTGACGTATTTGCACAACCTTGTAAACAACCGCTTGATTATTTTAAGCTTCGGCGTGGTAGAGAGACTCTGCCTTGATCAATGGTGTGCAGCGGATGAATGCCTTCTTTTTGGTGCAGGCTTGAAGGTGTTTGACCAGCTTGTCTGTAGTACCAACATCGTTTAACGGTTATTTTATTTCCAATTATGTAAAAGCCTTGCTATGCTAATTCTTTAGCAATTCATGCCAGACGAACCAAGTTAGAGGGGGAAGGACACTTGTGGACCTTTATGCCATGATCGAATATGGAACCGCTTCGTACCGTCTGCCATTCTACTTCTAAGCAAAGCGTGTACACCCCGATCGGAGGTGTGTATACCCCATACCAGGTCTATATGATGTCTTCATAAGAAATTACAAATAAGAGCGCCGAATCTCAAAGAACCAATTGACGTTTGACCGCGCAAGGATGGTTCTGTCAAACGTCATCGCCTGGTGGAAGGGATTCCCACTGGTCGAATCCTCGTGAGGTATATAAGAAGTGGGATCTGGAATATCTTCAATCTCTATAGCTCCTCAACCTCTCGGACATCCCACCTACTTGATCCTTTGAAAGAATGTCTGCAGCCGTTCGTCGTCCTATCCTCGTCGTTGCTGGTATTGGTGATGGGTCCGGAACGGGTGGATCTACTGCGTAAGTCAGTTCTTTAGTTGAACAGGAGTCGATGCTGATTTTTGGCGTGAAGGCGTCTGTTTGCTAAGAACGGTATGATCTCTTCAAGTTGAGGTTTCCGGAAAGGCTGCTTATCATATTGCAGGCTACCGTGTCGCGGTGATTTCTCGTAGTCCTGAAGCAACTAGCAAAACTGCTGCAGAAATCAACGCCGCTGGTGGTGAGGTGTGTATTTGTTGTAAATCTCCCATAATCAATCTGTTTCGCCTAAC